TAATTTCAAGGAAAGATAAGATGAAGAAGAATTGGAAAGGTAATAGAAGAAGAGAGAAAATAGGAGCAAAAGAGGAAAACGGAAAAGGAGGATTAAGAGGAAAGAGAAGAAGAGGAGAAAACAAAATAACCAGAGTAAAGAGATGCGAGTATAGAGAGAAGGAAGAAGAAAGATATGAGGAAGAGAAGAAGGAAGAATATTTGTTTGCCTGATCATCAGTCTGAATCTAATTGAAGTTTGAAGAAAAACAAACTTTTAAATTAGATTAGTCTAGTATTCCCTTCTTCCATTCCATCCAGCACATTTTATACTAGTATTCCCTTCTTCCATTCCATCAAGCACATTTTATACTAGTATTCCCTTCTTCCATTCCATCAAGCACATTTTATACTAGTATTCCCTTCTTCCATTGCATCCAGCACATTTTATACTAGTATTCCCTTCTTCCATTCCATCCAGTACATTTTATACTGATATTTCTTTTCTTCCATTCCATCCAGCACATTTTATACTAGTATTCCCTTTCTTCCATTCCATTCAGCACATTTTATACTAGTATTCCCTTCTTCCATTCCATCCAGCACATTTTATACTAGTATTCCCTTCTTCCATTGCATCCAGCACATTTTATACTAGTATTCCCTTCTTCCATTGCATCCAGCACATTTTATACTAGTATTCCTTTTCTTCCATTCCATCCAGCACATTTTATACTAGTATTCCTTTCTTCCATTTCAGTACATTTTATACTATATTCCTTTCCTTCCATTCCATTCAGCACATTTCATACTAGTATTCCTTTTCTTTCATTCCATCCAGCAATTTTATACTATATTCTGTTCTTACATTCCATCCAGCACATTTTATACTAGTATTCTTTTCTTCCATTTCATCTAGCACATTTTATACTAGTAATCCTTTCTTCCATTCCATCCAGCACATTTTATACTAGTATTCCCTTCTTCCATTCCATTCAATTCAGTACATTTTATACTATATTCCTTTCCTTCCATTCCATTCAGCACATTTCATACTAGTATTCCTTTTCTTCCATTCCATCCAGCACATTTTATACTAGTATTCCCTTCTTCCATTCCATCAAGCACATTTTATACTAGTATTCCCTTCTTCCATTGCATCCAGCACATTTTATACTAGTATTCCTTTCTTCCATTCCATCCAGTACATTTTATACTAATATTCCTTTCTTCCATTCCATCCAGTACATTTTATACTGATATTTCTTTTTTCCATTATCCAGCACATTCCTTTCAAAACTGTTTCATTTCCAACCAACACAGTGGGAACTATAAAATTGTGAAGTAGTTAGACGACTTCTAAACACATATTATATTTTAAAAACATTTTCCTCAGTGTTGATTTTCAAGATATTTTCTTAACAACATCAAATTCACAAGATTGCTGAAATGTCGTCTTCCTACTCCACAGTTGTTTGGATCCCATTGTATCTTAGGAAAATTCGAAACAATGCTAATCAATATTTCAGGAAGCTCAAAGCTGTGACTTTCGATTACAATTTGACCCATTGTACATAATTTTTTTAGCCTTTTTTCTGAAATACTTTTTATGTAGGTATATACATTTTCAATAAAAAAGTATAGAATAAACAAATCCGTAAGCTTAAATATTGCTAAAAATGCTTGATGAGCTAGCATTCTCTGATAAGAACTATTGATAACGATTAAATTAATTAATTAAATCTAACACTTTTAAACCAGTTATTAAGAAATATGTTTTTAACCCTATAACCTGTGTTTACAAATAATTAGGATTAACAACTGCACATATACTTACACCCGCAGTGTTCAAACATATCAATTATATCATTATATTTCCAATACATAAATAATAATAATATGTACATAGAAATTATTCAATTCGTTATGCTGGCAGAAAACCTTTTACTTTTATAAACATTATTTGAGAAAAATTAACAATCAGTTTTGGTTTTAAAATTATGTAAAACTAATCTTTTCCTACCTTAAAACGAGATTTATTTTATTATGTATTTGGTACTTATTTTGATTATGTAAAAAGAAAATGTAAAAATTTTAAAAATAAAACCTTAATTGATATCCATCATGTACGCCGCTGGCTGATAAAATATTTGTAACTTTTTACTTTTGAGAGATTAGATTAGATAATAGAAAAGAAACAAATTCGAAACTTTTAAAACAATTTTCTTTGTTTAAATATTTGATCTTAAAGTTTGGATACAAGTTGAACATTATTGAATTCTTGCTTTGCCCCCTCAACCCCCCCCCCTCCCCCCTGGTTTAGGTTTTCTATTCTTTTGATTTCCTTCGTTAACTGGGAAGATAAAACTTTTTTTTCTTCTTCATAATTATATTTTCCTTCAATTGTAATATTAACCTATCATATTCTTTTCTTCTAAAAACTTTATCTTGCCATTTTCATTTCGTTGCAGTTTCTTTTCCTTCTTTCTCCATCCTAGGTTTTCTATTAATATTTCCGTCCTCTCTTTTATCCATCCATACGGCACTACGTCCTACTCCTGCTAATATATACGTCTTACATTGCATTAATAAATCTTCTAATTCTGTATAAATCCTTTCTCATTCTACCCCTGTGTATCTCCTTCTCTTATATTTGTCTTTCTTTATCTTCTTCTACTTTATCTGTTATTTTATAATGTCTCCTCTGTACGTGTTAATACTCCTGAAATTTTGCCCGTTTAAATTCTTGACCTGCATTAAATCCGTCCTTCTGTCCCGTTTATCGATCCTTTCCTATATCCATACTCTTCTTATTTGTCCTTTTCAGTTGTATGCCCTACATCTGTCTACTGACCCATGCTGCAGCTGTACTCTCCGGTATTCAAATTTGTTCTTGATTCGTCCTACTTCTGTTTCTGTCCTGCTTCTTTCGCCGTATAAACCTTGTATCGGATCTATCAAATATTTTTACTTCTCTTTGATTCTTCCTTCTTATTTTTCCATCCTGAGGCTTTTGTCTTTTAAACCGTGTATTTTACTTCAGTATTTTACTTCTTCTTGATACGTCCTACTTCTGTTTCTGTCCTGCTCCTTTCTCCGTATAAACCGTGTATCCGTCCTCTTCAGTATTTTACTTCTTCTTGATAAGTCCTACTTCTGTTTCTGTCCTGCTCCTTTCTCCGTATAAACCGTGTATCCGTCCCCTTCAGTATTTTACTTCTTCTTGATTCGTCCTACTTCTGTTTCTGTCCTGCTCCTTTCTCCGTATAAACCGTGTATCCGTCCTCTACTGTTTTTTACTTCTTCTTGATACGTCCTACTTCTGTTTCTGTCCTGCTCCTTTCTCCGTATAAACCGTGTATCCGTCCTCTTCAGTATTTTACTTCTTCTTGATACGTCCTACTTCTGTTTCTGTCCTGCTCCTTTCTCCGTATAAACCGTGTATCCGTCCTCTTCAGTATTTTACTTCTTCTTGATTCGTCCTACTTCTGTTCTGTCCTGCTCCTTTCTCCGTATAAACCGTGTATCCGTCCTCTTCAGTATTTTACTTCTTCTTGATAAGTCCTACTTCTGTTTCTGTCCTGCACCTTTCTCCGTATAAACCGTGTATCCGTCTTCTTCAGTATTTTACTTCTTCTTGATTCGTCCTACTTCTGTTTCTGTCCTGCTCCTTTCTCCGTATAAACCGTGTATCCGTCCTCTACTGTTTTTTACTTCTCCTTGACATTGTCCTATATCCATATTTTATCTTTATCCTGTCTCCACCCTTAGGTGCAAGCGGGATGATTGGTACAAGCCTGGTTAGATGAGAATGAAAATGTTCAGGTTGACTTGATTCCTTGAGAAGAGATATTAAACTGTATCTTCATCTATACATGGTTAATTATCCTAACTTCAATCCTTTGTTTTTATAATTAAAGAAATCGTATCCTGAAAATACAAAAATGAAGATTTATCTAATATTTTTCTTGGCATGGATTAACAGTAGTGGGTTCCATAGAAAAAGGGGAAACCTTAACGATTTAAGGAATGATGGGGGGGGGCGGATTTAAATCCCCTCCATTGCATTATTGGTGTTACTAGTTCTCTACTGGTTCACCATGTTTATTTAAGTTTAACTGTGTCCTACCAGATGTTTCTTATTATTATAATCTTCTTATAGTTATATATGTACACAAGCGTCATACAATCTTTCAAACCCCGCTTTCCCCTCTATTTCTACCTTACCCTTTCCATTTCATACATACCCTTTCCATTTCATACATACCCTTTCCATTTCTTACATACCCATCCCATTTCAAACATACCCATTCCATTTCTTACATACCTTTTCCATTTCTTACATACCCTTTCCATTTCTCAAATTCCCTTTCCATTTCTCAAATTCTCTTTCCATTTCTTATATACCCTTTCCCTTTTTTACATCCCCTTTCCCTTTCTTTCATACTCATTCCCTTTCTTACATACCCTTTCCATTTCTTAAATTCCCTTTCCAGTTCTTAAATTCCCTTTCCATTTCTCAAATTCTCTTTCCATTTCTTATATACCCTTTCCCTTTTTTACATCCCCTTTCCCTTTCTTTCATACTCATTCCCTTTCTTACATACCCTTTCCATGTCTTACATACCCTTTCCATTTCTCAAATTCCCTTTTCATTTCTTACATACCCTTTCCCTTTCTTACATACTCTTTCCATTTCATACATATCTCAAAACGTCGAAATTTTAAAATTGAACTTTTGGTTGTATCATGACATTATATTGTTTTCACATTCATAAATTCAGCCAATAATTTTGATTTAAATCAAAGAACTTGAAATACTTAAAAAAAATATTTTCTATCACACACTTTTAGTGTATGCACTTTCAATTAAAATGATAAATAAACATTTAAATTTTTCAAATTATAAAAATGACATCCCCTAAAAGAAAGATCATTGACTCTTTTATACATACAAATACACAGTTGAGACATAAAGTACAACAGTCGACATGTAAATTGGGTTTAATTGAATGATATGAAATTGTAGATAAAGGATGGGTGGACACAAAATACATTTAGTTTAGTTCTTTCATCCAACAAATATGGAGAGGTTCGTATTTTCATCATATACTTTTTACATAATCTATTGTATTTTCTATTAAACTAATAAATATCTTTATAAGATTAAAAACAAACTGTTGAAACGACGTATGACTATAAAGTGGGGTGGGGGTCGATCTAATTAATGAACTTTTACGGAAAGGATTTGAGTCTTTGCCACAAACTCAAATTTTCTAATCACTATATCTTTGCAACCCAATGCCGTAGACCTTAGATATTTCAAACTATGAATTCTGGTAGATCTATTAATCTAATTTTAAAATATCAAAGGTTTGCACCATCAATTTGCTAAGATATTATGATTAAAAATTTTAGATATCTACAAATATTCTGGTTTAAAATGGCTTTACTTTTGGTCCTACTTTATACCAGACTCAATGACGACCTGTAACTCTGTAAATTGTAATACGTTTAAGTTGATTTTTGTCTAATTTTTTTTGGATGTCATTTTTTGATGTTCTTCTAACTTCTATCACAAAAGAAGAAACCAGTAAAATAACGTGGCAGGGAACCATCAATTTAAGGCCAAAAAATAACCCAAGGAATTAAGTCTTTGACAGAAACTCTGATTTTATAATCCCTATATCAATACCCAATGTCCATAGACCATAGATATTTCAGAAATGAATTATGTCAGATTATATATCAAAGGTTTACGCCATCAGGATGCAAAGATAAAGGGATAAAACAATTTGTTCTTGTGATAAAGACAGTTGTCTTTCAAGTCTTTTCCTTTGTGGGCAACCCTGTAGTTCCAACTAGACTAGTTTAGAATATCTTTACTCCTGGTTCTACTGTATACTGGACTACATGGTTCTACTGTATACTAGACTATATAGTTCTACTGTATACTAGACTACATGGTTCTACTGTATACTAGACTAAATAGTTCCAACTATACCTGTTTAGAATATATTTACTCCTGGTTCTACTGTATACTGGACTATGTAGTTCCAACTATACTTGTTTAGAATATCTTTATTCCTGGTTCTTTTGTATACTGGACTATATAGTTCCAACTAAACGTGTTTAGAATATAACTACTCCTGGTTCTACTGTAAACTAGACTATATAGTTCCAACTATACTTGTTTAGAATATATTTACTCCTGGTTCTACTGTATACTGGACTATATAGCTCCAACTATACTTGTTTAGAATATAATTACTCCTGGTTCTACTGTATACTAGACTATATAGTTCCAACTATACTAGTTTAGAGTATCTTTACTCTTGGTTCTACTGTATACTTGACTATATAGTTCCAACTATACCAGTTTAGAATATCTTTACTCCTGGTTCTCCTGTATACTGGACTCTATATAGTTCCAACTATATTAGTTTAGAATATAATTACTTCTGGTTCTACTGTATACTGGACTATATAGCTCCAACTGTATTTGTTTAGAATATCTTTACTCCTGGTTCTACTGTATACTAGACTATATAGCTCCTACTATACTTGTTTAGAATATCTTTAATCCTGGTTCTACTGTATACTGGACTATATAGTTCCAACTATACTAGTTTAGAATATCTTTACTCCTGGTTCTACTGTATACTGGACTATGCAGCTCCAACTATACCTGTTTAGAATATCTTTACTCCTGGTTCTTTTGTATACTGGGCTATGCAGCTCCAACTACATGTCGGAGCACAGAACCTTGATTCAGTATTTAACTAAGCTCAAGGAAGGTAAATTTTAGAGTCCCAAAAAAAGAAATAAATGAAAAGTCCGAAGTTTGAAAGTTTGACGTCGGGTTTAACTGAAACCTGTGAACTGTGAAATATTTTCTTTATCAGGAAGAAAATGACGGAACCTGATTAGTTTTTACTTTCTAACTTCAATCCTAAGAAATACGATGATTTGAGGATTTAAAATAATATTTTTTAAAGGGACTGGAGGCATGAATTCAAGTGACCTTCCATTTATAGAGTACCATGTCCGATTTACAATGATGCCCTCTAAATATTGTGTATATTGTGTCAGAAAAAGTGATTTGTCCATTAACAAAAACAAAACAGGAAGTTGTCCTAATTTAACAATTAGATAGAAAACCGATGCCCAGACTTAGATCAAGGTTTAATGATTACCGTTGTGAATATGACATGTCTCAACTCTTTAACCGGAGAGTAACTTCAACTTATGTCTACAGATCCTTATTATTGAGAAAATATCTACAAATTCTTCATAATAAGGTGATTATGATGTGAATGCAAGACCTGTGAGAAATGAGAGCACTCCTCTTAAACTCAAGATTGATCTTACTCTAACTGCAATTCAGGTGAGAAAGAGAAGGCAGACGGCCATGAGCCACCTTTTTTTTCTTCCATCCCACATATAAGCTTTTTTGTTTTTCGGCAGCCATGAGCCAAAACTATTCGACCTTTCATGCCACAACATTTTGTTCTTTCGGCAATTGTTATTTTTTTATGTTAGATTTACTGCATTTAAATTGCGATTTTCAAAAATTTGCAAATTAATCAATTAAAAGCATCCTTTCAAATATGAAATACCAAACAATTGTCAGTTAAAACCCCTCTTGGTTTCATTTAAAGAAAAATATTACACTAAAGAAAATAATTACTCTTCTCATACTATAATTTTCTAATCCTTAAATGTTGAGACCTGTTTTTTATTCTTATAACTTTGCAACCTGAAGTTGTAGACCTTTAATATTACAAAACATGAATTCTGCTTCAAAGAGAAGCCAAAGTTTGGAATATTCAAGATTAAAACCATCAATCAAAGATAGCTGAACATAAACTTGAAGGATGTGGATGAAGCCAGCGCCGTGATGACCAGCTCCGGATGGATCTCTATGACCTGGGTTGATGAGTATATCAGCTGGGATCCCAGGGATTTTATGGGATTAGAGGTAGGACTCCAGTCAGATATAACTGAGCACACGCTAAGAGAGAAAAACTTCTGAGACTGAAACCTTCAAAAATTTAACAAAATAAAACTTCGACTGTTATTGTTCTCCAGTATGAAAGGAAGGATTACAACTTCTAAAAAGGAGGTATGAAAGGCCCAAGGAGTTGCAAAAAGAAATAAATCAGTAGTTCCGGACGAGGTCTGAAACCCTTTTGTTTTGAAAATTCAAATGCAAGATAATAAAAGTACCAATCGACGTTTAAAATATATTATGAGTATTCGACTTGATTCCTAACTATACATTTTTTGAACGATTTGAAAGATAATACTTGAAAAAAGCTGAAGAATTCTTATTTCAAATGATCTTCCAATTAATGAATTACAATTACATAACAATTACAATTTACATTTAATCTGATAATATAATGATTAAGACACCACAATTGGAAATAGTAAATTTTCAATTAGAAAAACATAGATATCTCATTCATTCTTGATCAACCACAGCTTTTACAGCTTATGAAAACAGTTTAGAATAAGACTAAAATGTTGGGTCACGTTAAATTTTGTCAACAGTCCTTTAATTTACAGGAAATACGAGTTCCTACAGATATGTTCTGGATTCCGGATATATACCTCTTCAATGATGCTGAGGGAGATTTTAACAAAAGGTTCAGTTTTTCATTCTAAACTTAAACATAATTTTTGAAAAATAATTGGTAGATAATTATAATACATTACACATGTCATATTCATTCTTTTCTCCTTGTATGAAAACTCATATTACGTCCGCATCATTGTCTTAGCGAAGGAATTGAGTCTTTGCCACAAACTCAAATTTTCTAATCCCTATATTTTTGCAACCTAATGATGTAAACCTTTGATATTCTACACTTAAATTATTCAGAATTCATAGCAAAAAATATCTAAGGTCTACGACCTTGTGCTGCATAGAAATGGGCATTAGAAAATTAAAGTTTGTGGCAAAGATTCATTCCTTTGAAACTTTTTCTCAACATTTCAGAAAATTTACCAAATTCATCGTTCCAGGGTGTTTGCAGTAGTTAATCAAAACCTGATATATTGGAAGATATGAAAATTAATAGTAAAATTTAAAAAAAAGGTTGTTGGAGAATAAACAGAAGCTGTACATAGATTACAACGGAACAGTACACTGGGCTCCGGTTTTTAAATTCAGGTAAACAAACGAATATGTTTCAGTCAAAATTTGGGATAAAATATATATAAAATATTGTATAAACATATCCCAGACGATATACCAGAGGAGCATAAAAAACTTAGGTTTGCTTCTATTATTATTTGAATTTAATAATTTTTCATTTATCAAAGATATAATTGATAATATCATGTGATTAGAACTCCCACCAATGGCAGTCCAGTATACTGGTCACTCGATACAGATGGAGAAACGTAATAATGATACTACACTGCCATTGATGGGAGTTGTGGTCACATGAAATCGACTTATTTATTATATTATCAACTATCAAAAATAAAAAAAAATTTAATTCAAATAATAATAGGAGCAAACCTAAGTTTCTAAGGCTCCCCCCACTGTATTTCCATCATCACAAAACTGAAATTAATTATAATTCATGGAAATATTTAATCATAGATATTTATCTATTTCAATTAAATTTAAATTAAAGAAATATTATGGTTCAAATAAATTACATTTCTTAAGAAAGAAATTTTTTCTTCATAATTTTTTTTCTTAATTATTTTAGTTTATCTCAAGTATTTAAAAAAAAATTTATATTCAAAATATCAGATAAAAGTAGAACCCACCTAAATATAAATGTGGAGGGAGGTGGGGAAGGGGGGTATAAATTTGTTTTCCATTTTAAAAGTATTCATTCGTTATTTATGCATCCCTTTAATTCAACTAAATCTACTCAAACCAAACTAATACCAGCATATAGGGTAAATTATCCTACCTAAATCAACTCTGCTGCTGGATTTAGGTAACATCACTCTTTGTATTACCGGTTTCATGCATAATACCAGTATTTACACTTCTAAAGAACGTGTATGGTAGATGATCTACCCTTAATACTAACAAGCAGGATACTAACAGTGGTATTTAGCTCTCTAGAACCAGGCTATAGTCATTTAAAAATCCGATTTAAGGCAGACAAATTTTCTTAATGAAGAAGGATCACTCATAATTTATGAAATTATTAAATATGGAGCTTAATGTGCCTTTTCACATCAGGAGTCCTTACGAGCCATTCCAGTTTTGGGAAGATGGAAATACAGTGTGGGATATTGTTGTTTTCAGATTGGTTGTGTATTTGCTGAATATAATCCGTTTAAACCTACTATTTTTATACAACATTTTATATAGATAGATTTTTGTATAAATTTGACACAGTTTTATATCATCAGTTTCTCGAGACAGGAACATCAGATAGAACTCACATGGGTCTCGATCAACTCCTAAAATGCTCTGGTTTCAGCTTTTACCCCCTTTCATATTTCCTTTACAGTCCCTTTCATAAAATCTTTAAATGGATTTAAATAAAGATTTATTCAAATAAATTATCCTAATGTATTCGACAAAAGTAAAAAAACACAAAACAACTAAAATTTTTACATTAATTCTTTCAGTCACTTTGCTCTAAAGGTAACACCTTTCTGAACGTGGAAATGTTGTCACAAAAAGCTGTAATATTTTTTTAACAAAGTTTGTTTCCACAAACAAAAATATTCAAATCCCTTTAATTTTGCAATCTGATGGTCTATACAATACTTTTGATATTTCAAAATTAACTATTTTATCAAACAGAATTTATAATTTGATATATCAATAGTTAATAACATTGGGTTGCAAAGATATGGAAATTAGAAAATTTTAATTTTTGGCAAAACTCACTTCCTTTAGATCTCTGTGTGATATCCCTAAGCTGAATAACTCTATGGTAAGCTGTCCTCTGACCCTGGGCTCCTGGACCTACCCAGAGTACGTGTTCGACCTTCAGGTTCAATTCTTGGTTTTTAAACATTATTTTCGAAAAGATAAACTCTAAGAAATGTCAAATTTTCATTTAAAGGGAGTGTTTGCGAAAAATGAAAGGGGGTATAGGCTTAATGCGATAACAAAGCGCTTTTGATCGCTACTAATCTGACTTCTATCTGTTGCGTCTATAAGGAGAAAATTGTTAAAGACGTCTCATACCGAATAACTTAGCGCCCATACAAATTCAGAAAATTGCAACATATGACTTAGACCGTAAAAAATCAATTTAATTTCAAACAAATCATTCAGATATAACAACCTATAGTCATCGAATATCTTTTGCCACATTTGTATATAGTTTATATTTTATAATAGTTTTTAATTCATTTGTTTTGAATTTGATTCTTTCTCTTGTTGCTTGCGCAACTATCTAAGAATGCCGCGCACCACTCAAATTTTTAGAAATCCGTTAAAACGTTTTCTAAAAAATAAAATATTATAAAATATAAACTATGTACAAATGTGGCAAAAGATAATTCATTTTTTGCGAACACTCCCTTTAATAAAATTTGTTTGATCACCGGAGCCAAATTCCACTTGGTAGCACAAGTCTTTAAATCTTGATGATTGATAAATTTTACAAATTTAAATCTTGACATTTCTCAGACTGTGGATCTAAGAATTGTCAATTCAACTCTTTTTGTTGAACTACTCATATTCTTACAGATTACACAGATGGGACAAGAGATGCAGAAATGCATCCGTAACCTCAGTGTCACTTTAAAATTTCTGTTTAATCATCTCTTTTGGATATCCCTGCTGGGTTCCGGCCAATAAGAGGTCTCTCATTGATTGTGCGCAAAATTTCTCGGCTTCTGATGGTTTGTTCAGTTTCTGTAATCAACGCTCTGATTGGTTGCATTTTGAACACTTTAATTGTAAGATTAAATTAATCTGCAGATTATGTAAAAGAGGAGATCAAGCAAGGAGCTCGATATCCACAAATCTAAAGTTTTCAGCTCTAGTGTTTATACATTTTCTAGACTGAGCAAGTGAGCGCATCCTTGACACTGTTCCACGGTAATCCAATGTGGGAGTTAGTAGAGGCTAAAACTAGCAGGTAAATATGGTAGATATTTTTGAAGAGGCCGTATTTAAATAATTGGAGCCGCAACTCAAATATGGTTGGTTCCACTTAAAGTCGTATTCAATATTTCAAGATTTAAGCCGGCGCTCATTTGAAACCAGTTTTTGGGGGATTTGAGATAATTATTCTTAGAAAAGTAGTGACTAGAAAATTAAATATTTACTGACATGAAGTTAAATTATAAATAAAACATTATTTTCATGCATTTTCGCGTCTCCGCCTTATTCATCTTTAAATTTTCCCATCCCTTTAATTGTTTACAAAGCTTCAGAAATAATTGATGTTTCAGTTTTTAGAAATTGCAATTATATCTGCCGCGGTTCCATAATGATAAAATTGTCATACTAGCTTCAGAGCTTCATCCCGAAATATGATTTAGTGATGTTATATTTCAGCCACTTTAGCTCATATTTTGACTCTAGCTTATATTTTAGGCACTCTACCTTAAATTTCAGGCACTTTGCCTTATATTACAGACACCCTATAACCTTATATTTTAGCCACTTTAGCTCATATTTTGGGCACTCTACTTTATAATTCAGGCACTCTACTCTATATTTCAGGCACTCTACTCTATATTTTAGGCACTCTACTCTATATGATTGCTGCCCTGAACCCTTCGTTGATCTGAAATATGATGTTAAGCTGACCAAACGTCAAACTCAAAATTAGCTTGATGAATGGCGGGGGTGGGGCCGGAAAACTGATTATATGGATTGAAATTAAGTAAATTAAAGAATGGGCTGCAATTAAAAATGATGTTAAATTGTATTTCTGATGATCAAATGTAGTTAAAAAATCTAACAATTTGATTGTATAGAAGTATACACCTTCTACAGTGCTACGCTTACCCAACTATTTGATATGTCAGATATGTTGAGAATGAGATCATAATGATCATATGTTTAACACGGTTTATACAGTGTATAATTGATCATAAATATGTTCCTTTTATCAGTGTAGAAATATTGTAATCTTGTAGATTTTGTTTACTCGACTGAACAATAAATTCTGGCAAAATTATAGTTTATTCATTTCTAGTCACTTTGTATACTTGTAGTGAGATAAAAGGTGAATCTTACATACTGTATTTTAGTCATTATTTATTATCATTGTTGTAAATAATTTATGGTCGCAAATAGAGATAAGACCCATAACACTGCGGACTAAGAAGATTACTGACTGTCAGAATCAAGTATATAATTTTAAATAATCCATTCAACATGAAAAATGGCAATTGTGCGAATCAAGCTAATTTAGCTGAGCTAAAAACTCATGTATTGGATAAATTTAATCCCTAATCTCTGTATCCGCTGTGGACACTTTTAACTTTCTTCTTAATCCTCTCTTTTGGATGTCCTCCTAGATTCCAACCAATGAGAAATCAGAGGCGTGGTTAAGCCCCCCCCCCCTAGACAAATTCCTGAATACGCCCCTGGTATCTATTAACCAATATCTTTGCAAAGAATTAATTTTATAGTTTGGTTTTGAAACTACAAACTAATAATCATTCGAATTACGATATTCAGTATTAAAATATATTACAATGATGATAGTTTATTCATTTACAGTCCAGATTTATAAAAATGGAATTTGTTGGATGAATTAAAATTAAAATTGGTTTTAGCAATTATTATATTTACCTACGGTAGTTTGAAAAGGAGAAGACAGGATGTAAAATGAATCTGTGGCCTTATTATTCAACTGCCTTTATTCAAATTAAATCTGTTTCCTGTTTAGATTTTCATCTAGCAAAACAGGAAACATACAGATTATGATTAATCTTTTGCTTTCTAAAAATCAGAGAAAGCACAGAAAAGAAACAGAAGAAAACTTATGCAAAAGAATAATTAGATTCCAAAAATTTGTCAAATTTCTTATGTTTCAATCTACAATTTGTCCAACAAGAATTGAGCTCTAAACCAAATCAATGTAACCAAACTATGCAAATTATATGAAAACAAGATTTCTTACAATTCATCTCATCAGCAAAATACAAATAGTTTACCTGATTGGATCTATAAATAAAAAAGAGTCTTGTTTGTGCCATAGTCTTTGCCACAAACTCTGATTTTCTAATCCCTGCATCTTTTGAACCCAATGTCATATACGTTTGATATTTCAAACTATGAATTCTGTTAAAAGAAACAAAGAAACAATATAAGTTTGAAATGTTAAAGGTTTATACCATCAAGTTGCTTAGAAAACTTGAGTTTGTGGCAAAAACTCAATTCACTTACATATAAATCATATCCCCTTCATTCTCTCAACTTTAGAAAATGTTTGTAAAATTTTCCGCCTTCTGTTTCTATCAAACAATTTACAATCAAATTTCACTTAGACCTTAAATATTTAACAACTTTCCCTTAGACGAAAATAATGAAAACTATGAACTATCAAATAATCTCAATTTCAAATAATCTCATGTCTACACAATCAGGTTGCAAAAATATAGGGCTAAGAAACTTAAGAATAAATCAGTTTTTTTATAATTGCTTAAGAGCTGTTGTTGATTTTGGGACATACAGGGTGTCCCGCGAAATATGACAGTTAATAGACGACTTGAACACAAAAAATGACAATATTTTGAAATGCCTGGACTAATGGTATCATGTAAAAATTGTCCAAATATTTTATTTGCGAAATCAGTTTAACGAATACAAAGACTATATCTTTCACTCCCTATCTTTGGTCCATTAAACCGTTGTATTGTAAATATATGTGAATAAATGATGCTAAACCCGAAGAGAAGTGAATAAAGATCTCCTTCTAACAGTTGATAGAAATGTCAGAAGAGACATTCTTCAAATAATGTTCACTTAGCACAGCTTTTTGTCTGTTTAAATAATTTGTTTCTAAAATATATAAATAATTACTTTGTATTTACCTTTCCAGTGTAATCATACCACGGTGGACTATAAGCCAGTAGGGTCGGTCAAATCTAGGCCGGGTATTGTAAAAAGTATGAACGCGCCATGGGAGTTGTCATAGTTAGCCCTCCGACGGGACTATGCCAAGAAAATTGACCCCTGTCGTATGTTAGTCTGGTTAGGGCGACGTAATGTACCATAGGATCGGGTCAGTAAATGCTGTTATATGTTAGGCCGGTACAAAAAAGGGCAGGTCCTGTTCGAATTCAAAGTTACTACGACCCGGAGTGATACATTTACTCGTACTAACCCGACACGTGAACCAAGTCTGTGTGGGTTCATGTGGAAACATAAGATAGAACTATTCTGATGTAAATGTTGTTTCTAAACTGTTTTTAATCTTGTTTAATGTTGGTGATTGTCAAAACTTTTCAATTTTCATCAATCAAACACATTTCTCTTTTTACTTTTCGATATCAAGATCATTTCAGAACTAATGATCATGTAAAAACCTGTCTTTTCCATATTTGTTGAAAACGTTTGGATTAATTAGTGTACAGTGTACTGCATGATAGTAAATATTGTTTACAGACCAACCCTATAAAGTAAACACAATAACTTTATTAGGTTTGGTTACATGAGAGGAAAGGGAGGAGGGTGATCGGGGGATCTAAATGATTTTTAGATATTCCTTTGTCAGCAATAGACTTTCTCAGCCCAGGCCATATAGATTGCAAGACTGTAAAGTGTTCGTTTCTTGAAGGTCAAAGGACAGAGAAGCTCAGTCGTTCAAAATTTGACTTATTACATGTTAATTGCAGTTTTCGTGAAGAACCTTTAGAAAATCTAAAAAATCTAAAATCTAGAAATAGATTTATAAATAAAATAAAACAATTATCTTAACTGCAGCTGACGAATGAATCATAAGACCAGAAAACAGACAAAAGTAATAAAAAGAGAAGAGTGGGATANCCCCCCCACCTCTCTTTCTAGTTGTACCATCTGATTTGGTTCAAAATAAAGACAATAGAATACTTTAGACAGGACACCAGTACAAAATAAAGACAATAGAATACTTTAGACAGGACACCAGTACAAAATAAAGACAATAGAATACTTTAGACAGGACACCAGTATAAAATGTTTATCTTTTACATCTACAATTAAATTAACTCACTATCTATAAGATTCAAGAGCAAAATACTAGAATTGTCAAACGTTTGAAATACTCAATCGGGTTGCAAAGCTATAAGGATCAGCAATTTTGAGTCTGGGGTAAGTGTTCAGTTTATTCATAAAAAGTATCTGCTATCGTCCGTTTTAATATTGAGACAAGTTCAATAATGTTGGTGTCCCATCTATAGTGTAAAGCGTATCTATGGTCTAAACTATACCAAGAGTTCTAACTAGCGGAAACACGGGTTTAAGACAATACTAAAATTGGTCTGATTAGTTCTACTAAGTTTAGTATTATTATCTACAGGTTGTTTAAACACCTCCATACAGACAAAGAATAGTGTCACATTACAAGACCGGAGTTTTTAACAAAGCCTTCCAATATCTTTGCAAACTGATGGTGAAAACCTTGAATATTTCAAATGTAAGCTATTTGCTCTACCTGGATTTTAAATATCAAATTTCTGCTAAGGTTGCAAAAGATGTTACAATTAGAAACTTAAAGCTTGATGCTAGCACTAAATTGCTTTGTCAAAATGAAGGCAAGGGAAAAGGACGCGAAAACAATTTGTTTACTAATTAACTTTTTAAATTTTTGGATCATTTTTCGTATTTCTTCATGATTTTATGATATTAGAAAAGTTTTGATTTAAACAGTTTGCTTTTCCACAAACATTCAATTTGTTGTTCCTCCCTCGACACGTTCGAGTCTCTTAAAGGGACCGTTCACTTATTTGGGTAATTTGAGGGTAAACTAAATAGCCTATTAGCTAATCATTGGTATTAGTATAACTTTTCAAAAACAACTGTGGCAAGAGAAAACGCCGATTTTTCGTTCAGAATTCCAGCGCAAAGATTTAGTACCTTTGCATTTACACTATTTGACACTTTTTCAAATATTAGATTAAACTGTTGCATCTAATACATAATTATAAATATCTTTAATTTTTTTCAAGTTATTTAAAAATTGTCTATTTTCAAAATTGTTGAAATCTAGGAACCATGGTTTGACGGAGAGAGAAGGTCGTCTTTTTATAAATATGTTTAATCATGACCATGAAACACAAGTGTTCATATTTTATTAGATAATGGCTGACACATAACGTCATTTAAATATGATAATTTTAGATTTTATTGGACTGTTTAAATAGTGTCTTTGCAAAGGTATCGTAACTCTGATTGGAATTCTAAGCAATAACTCGGCTATTTCTCTGGCCATAGTTATCTTTGAAAAGTAAGACTAATACCAGTAATAGCTACTAGACTATTTTTATTTAGTTTACCATGAAATTACCCAAATAAGTGAACGGTCCCTGGGTTTAAAGAGACCCTGTGAATTATTGCTTGCCTCTTTTGAAATAACGTCGACAGTCCCTTTTTAGTTTGTTAAATCATCTAATCAAAAAATCTCGAAGGGTTTACCGGAGTAAGCTTAATTAATAGATTTAAATAACACATAACATTGATTAAATGTCGTCTTTGTATTCCATAGTTGCATGGGTCGCAGCTGCACCGTATAGATACCATAGCTCTGAGGATTTCCTCTTCAAGGTTGTCATGCACCAACGTTTCAGAATTGCTTTCCCATAATTATTCCTAAACTTTAAGCAGGTGTAAACTATTAAGCCATGCACCTTGCCTCCATCATACAAATTATAAGATTAAATTATATCTACAAAGATTATACAGATTGGACAAGAAATGTAGTGTGCAATGTTAGTTGAGATGTTTATATTCTAACTATAAACCATATTCATTTCTACTTATAAATCTTTTTTTTCGGCCCGGTGATTGAGAACAAGTTACTTATATATGACATAAATACTACCTCTCTTGTGTCCTATCTATGTATTCTATTTTAAAAAGAATATGTTCTCGTGTTCTATCTATGTATTCTATTTTATAAAGAATATGCTCTCGTGTCCTATCTATGTATTTTATTCTATAAAGAATATGCTCTCGTATCATATCCATGTATT